AGAGGAAATTATAGTGTCGGGCAGAACTAGCGTATTTACGGTTTATTGTTTATGCCCACAGCAGGGTTTTGGATTAGGATTCTCTTGGCATTTGGTTTGAGGTTTTTAAAAGACCTCCGAGCCGGTATCCTGCGCAACAGGAACAGTCATAATCAGCAGATCGCCCGCTCATTAGAGAGTTCCTTTTTGCGATTTTGGGGTGCAAAGGAGTCGAGCCCAATCAGACAACTCAAGCACATACCCGAAAAAGACGTCTTTAACAAACAACAACCCAACACTAACAATGGCGTTGTTCCAGTGGAGCAAACATAGCTGTGCACTCAAAACTCGACTCGGCACACTACCGCCTATAAGGCAGACTGCCGCCAATTAAAGACTCCCCTTTTGGTTACCAGTGTCTGCGTGAGTCGCAGGCAATGGTACGACATATGGAATTGGAAAAGGAATTCTTTAATTAGTGGCCGTCTGCCGTGGCAGGTGATGTGACTCTTGAACTGTGCATGTTCTTGTGTCGGCCTTGCCCTCCCCAGTCCCGGGACTGGCTGCACAACGGATCACACAACCAGTTTTGGATGTCGCTCCCTCCCTCCCTGCTTCAGTTTGGATTTGGGTCCTTTTTCTCAGTGTACTTGTTGCACTGCTGTTTTTAACCCCCCCACCAAAGGTGCATCTCCGAAATCGATGGGGTGGGAAGCCCTCGGCTTAACCTTGACCCCAAGTGGGCAACAGGCAAAACGGACCCGCATCCCGTGACTGCCCGGAAGGTTAATGGAATTCCAATTTGCAAACGGCAGAAGGAGGTAAAGTCACTTCTTTCATGTCTGCTAAATACGGCGTCCCTCAAAGCGGGTGTAATTTCTAGCGTTCCACATGACAAGAATTGTAACTGGCTTAGCCATGATGGGTTTCGCTATTTACTCCTGTGTAATCTCTCCCTAACGACATTTAAAAAAACACACACACACACAGACAGTGAGAAAAAGAGACAGAGAGAGAGAAGAATCGTAGATGTAGTTATTTTACAAGTGACATTTTACACAGGGAGAGGGGAGGGGGGGAAATGGTAATTTAATATAGATAAAAGGAACAAATTAAGAAGCTTGAAAAACAGATGCTTTAGAGCTAAAGAAGTCGAGGAAATATGAAAAAAGATAAAGTCTGCCCGCTAGCTTCTGGACCCAAAGACAGGACTTGGTGTCGCCGAGTGCTGGGGGGGTCGTGGATTTTAATTAATAATGTTATTATTATTTTAACATTTCTGTATTGATTGCAGTGGGGAGGGGGGGCAGCTAGGATGGAAAGTGTCTGGTTCAAAAGACACTCCTCACCATCTCGGAACTGGATCCTCTGATGTTAAGTTTCCCATTTCCTGATGTTGACCTTGAAATTAACAAAACTGGGGCCGATTCTTGGGTTGCTGGCAGCGGAGGGCCCGAGTGAAGCTAAGGCTGGTGGTGGTGGTGAATTTATTCTGAACACCAGAAGACCCGTACAGAGTTCAGTTCCCCCGCCGTGGCGTGTCCTTGATGTGTAAAGCTCGGGTGGAACCAAGATTCGGCGGTCTGTTGTGTTAAGATTTTTGAGGGTGGTTTGGTCTTCAGCGAGCAATGAGGAGCCACTGACTTTACCAAAGACCCACTCCTGAATTGTTGGCAAGCACTGATTCAACAGCCTGCGCACTGGTGCTCCACTCCTGGTTTTGCTCCAAACAGCATAACGGGTACCCTTGCTCTGCTCCCATCACTCTTGGCATACTGATGTTCTAGAAGCCCAGCACATAAAACCCCCTTTATGCCAAGGCGTTGTCGTCATCTAGTTGTTCAGTCGTGTCCGACTCTTTGTGACCCCATGGACCAGAGCACGCCAGGCCCTCCTATCTTCCACTGCCTCCCAGAGTTGTGTCAATTTCATGTTGGTTGCTTCGCAGACACTGTCCAGCCATCTCATCCTCTGTCATCCCCTTCTCCTCTTGCCATCACACTTTCCTAACATCAAGGTCTTTTCCAAGGAGTCTTCTCTTCTCAAGAGATGGCCAAAGTACTGGAGCCTCAGCTTCAGGATCTGTCCTTCCAGTGAGCACTCAGGGTTGATTTCCTTTAGAATTGATAGGTTTGTTCTCCTTGTAGTCCAGGGGATTCTCAAGAGCCTCCTCCAGCACCACAATTCAGAGGCATCAATTCTTTGGCGGTCTGCTTTCTTTATGGTCCAGCTCTCACTTCCATACAACACAACAGGAAAAACCATAGCTTTGACTATTTGGACTTTTGTTGGCAAGGTGATGTCTCTGCTTTTTAATTTCTTTAAGGACTTGCCATAGTTTGCTGTGGTCCACACAGTCAAAGGCTTTTGCATAGTCAATGAAGCAGAAATAGATATTTTTCTGGAACTCTCTGGCTTTCTCCATAATCCCAGCGCATCTTAGCAATTTGGTCTCTAGTTCCTCTGCCCCTTCGGAGTCCAGCTTGTACCTCTGGGAGTTCTCGGTCCACATACTGCTGAAGCCTACCTTGGAGGATTTTGAGCATAACCTTGCTAGCGTGTGAAATGAGTGCAATTGTACGGTAGTTGGAGCATTCTTTGGCACTGCCTTTCTTTGGGATTGGGATGTAGAGTGATCTTTTCCAATCCTCTGGCCACTGTTGAGTTTTCCAAACTTGCTGGCATATTGAATGTAGCACCTTAAAAGCATCATCTTTTAAGATTTTAAATAGTTCCACTGGAATGGCATCACCTTCACTGGCCTTGTTGCTGGACAAGCTTTCTAAGGCCCACTTGACTTTGCTCTCCAGGATGTCTGGCTCAAGGTCAGCTACCACACTATCTGGGTTGTCCGGGATATCCAAATCTTTCTGATATAATTCCTCTGTGTATTCTTGCCACCTCTTCTTGATGTCTTCTGCTTCTGTTATGCCAAGGCAGGGAGCAAGAATTCTTATCCAGAAACAGACAGAGAGGGCCGGACATTGATATAGATAAAAAAACCTGACAAGCCTCCAGAGGGTTTTTTTCTCACCACAAATCCAGAAAGGAAGAGCTATCAGTTACTTTGCAACCTGGTAATTGTCCCCACGTTTTAGGGTTGATGCTCCAGAACATTCCGAGCAGATCAGCTGCCGACTTTGCCCAACGTGGGAGAAGAAAATTAAGAGCCATTAGCTTCACAAAAACCCTGCTCTTCCCTTGTAGGCTCTGATATTCTCCTTATGGGGAGCATTTACCCTTCCACATTTAACACTATATCACCACAACCATCCCCTTGACTGGGGACGTCCGAGAGTCACGGGGACCTTCCACGCCAGATCCCCCTTTCTCCGCACCAGGGTGCACGGACCGTTCAGACAACCATGTGTAAAGATAGAACGACAGGGCCCCCCAAGCCTTTGACCGCAACCGTGGACGAGTGATAAATGCAGGAATTTTCTCCTTTTGGCCCCTTTTTTTAAAAAAGGAAAGGAAAAGGAAAGAAAACCAAGACGTGCAAACAGGCTCGAAAGGAGGGTCGCCTTAATGGGTGGTCCGGGAAGCTAATTTTGAGCAGTTGATTATTTTCCTGGCAGCACGGTCCGGCCAGAGGGCTCAGTGGGAGGCTTTGGTTCAAGCCATTTACAAACCTAGGAGTAAAATCACACTCCTTACAAGGGGAAACTATGGATAATTCACAAGGGTTCCTGCATCTGTGTCTATACCCTGTTTCCCCGAAAATAAGACGGGTCTCATATTATTTTTTGCTGCGAAAAATACACATTAGGGCTTATTTTCAGGGGATGTTTTCCCCCAGTTATCATCTACCTTCATTCAAACACAGTCATGTCATCTTTTTCTGGATGCTGCACAAGGGTGGAGGGCGGGGTTTCACTTAACATGGGGCTTATTTTTGGTGTAGGCAGGGCTTATATGACGAACATCCTGAAAAATCCTACTAGGGCTTATTTTCAGGTTAGGTTTTATTTTAGGGAAACAGGGTATTAATGTCTCTTCCTCTTTCTCTCTCTATCTCGCACCGATTTATTTTTATTATTTTTCTCTGAATGGGGCCGCCGGCGGGTACCGGCAGCGATATATTCGCGAACGGCCAGGAAAGGCTGAATCGGGTCAGGCTGCGGCCATTTGAACAGATTTCTATCCAGGCCTTTTAAAAATCTGGTTTCTTGATTTTATTTATTGACCCAGGCCACTCTGGGCGCAGCCCAAGGAACCGCTATCATGCCTTCAACAATAACCACAGACACATAATAACTGTGTCGAAAAATCAAAATATCCATCTGCTAAACTACAAAGAAAGAAAGACGGTTTAAGTTCCCTCGTATTTAAAGGGAAAAAGTCACATAGTATTTAAACAGGCGTTCCGATGCGTTGAATGGAAATCGGTTTGTAACATTGACAGCAATACTATATTTCATTCCACAGCTCTGGTTCCTTATTCTCTCGAGCCCGTCTGGCAGGGAATTGTAGCTGCGAAATTTTCGGCAGTACAACCTGCCTGTGTCTTAGTCTGACTCCCCACCTAACAGGGACGGCGTGAGGAGGAAGGAGGAAAAGAGGCACCGACTCCACTGAGCTCCCCCCGAAGAAAGCCAGGACACAAACAACGTGAGGGCCCTCCAGATTCTGGCTGGACAATCATTTCCAGCATTCTCTGCTGCCTGGGACCGATGGAACGTGTAGTCCAATGATATCTGGCCAGCTGAACGTTGCCCGTGAATCATGTCAAGGGAGATGTCAAGGTGTGGGGTAGCAGATGGAGTGACGGCCTCGGACTCAGGGGTTCTGGGTTCGAATCTCCGCTCGGCCATGAAAGCTCGCTGGACGGCGTGGAACTGCTAAAACCTCTCGTTGAATATCTCACTAAACTGGAAACTCCTATTGAGCCGGCTGTAAGTCAGGTCATGAGGAGAACGACCACAAGAACAACAATACACACATACCATGTCAAGAAAAGCAATAAAGGAATAAGGAAAATCTAAGTGTCTCGTAAAAGGGGAAGGTTTTTCCATACTTACAGATGTAATAATATTCATGTCCCGGCCTGAATTCGAACCCCAGGGAGAAGGGGGTGAAAAGCTGGAACTTCTCGGAGAACTTCAGCGGCCCGTTGGGTGAGTCGGGTCGGTTGCACTCCCAGCGCTTGAAGCCGTTCTGCCGGTGGTCACACGAATCGTGGCCCTCGTAGTTGACCATGTAGAGAATGTAGCGTTCCATGCGCTCCCGGGGGAAAGGCACCTCGTAATGCGGGCAGTAGATGTCCAGGTAGTCGTTGATGCTCACGTCCACCGTGTAGTCGCCTTGGTGGAACCTACGGGGGGGGGCAGAAATAAAGACCAAAAGGGAAGATTACAAAGAGGGACCCTTCTCCAAGCTTGGGAACTACGCACGGCCATGCGGCCATTCTCCATACCTTGGAATTTTTACCGTTTTCAGACTATGACTCCCGTTATCCCCAGCAGATCTCCTCTCCCCCCCCCCCATTCTGGAGAGATCCAGCAGAGAGCTCCTCCGGCCCCCATGATCCGCTTAATCCTCCTTCCTCCTGCTAACTTGATAAGATTAAAACGAGCCCTTCATGAAATTAATCAACTGGCCATGCTAGATGATTAGTCACGTAAAAGAGGGGAGGCGCCATCTTCCTTTAACAAGGCCTTGACGGAGCACCCCAGGTAATGCTGTTCAGAGGCGCACTCCATTCCCTGCTTCTTTGGGAAATTTTTTGGGGAAAGATTAGGGAATGGGGGGGACTAGGAGAAGCGCGTGCTGTTCCCCGAATGCGAGAGACCGTTTCCTTAAGCCCACGTCACACATTGGGTTTTTGGGGGGCCTCTGGCCCTCTCTGCACCCCTCCTTCTCCAGAAATAACGTCGGACGAGAGCTTCGGGCCCTGAACAGGACCCCTTCCAGACCCTGAAGGCCCGGATTCTGCTGCCTCCTCAGAAACCCGTCTGTCTCGGCAAACCATTAGGAGAGCCACAAACTTCATTTCAGGGGTCTCTAATGCCCCATTTCGCCCGGGATGCTGTTCAGGAGTGGAAACGTCTTCCAGCAAGGGGGACTTGAACCGCGGCGTGACTCAGCTTGGATTCAACTTGGAGTTCTTTCCTTTCCAATGAGTCAGAATCAAACTCGCGACTCAGGACCCACCCACCCTCTTTTTTCCTGATGAAGGTTGGGGGGAAGGCTTGTTTTGGGCCTTGGGCCTTGGACCCCAAGACTCGAACTTGGGACTCTGATCCAAGACTCAAACTCGGGAATTGGACCCAAAGACTTGCCAACCTCTCTGACTTATTCTCTCTCGCACACACAACCGTTCCCCCCCTTTCTCTCTCTCTTTTACACATTTTCCTCTTTCTGTGCACCATCCCTTCCCTTTCTTTCCCACTGTTCTTCTCTGCCTTTCTCACATCCCATCGTCCCCTTCCTCTCGCTCACACTCTTTGCTCTACCTTTTTTCCAAGCCACCCTCGCACAACACCAGTCCCCTGAACTGCGGGCTGTGCTTGCGTTTTCTCGGTAAAGCCACTTAATAAACATTTGTTTTTTCGCTCAATAGCTACATGATTCATTTATTTATTTCCTCCCTGAATGGACCAGCTAAGCCGAATTCTTTTTAACAGCTCAGTCTTCCCCGGCCATTCTGTGGTTATTCGGCACCATCAAGTTGTCCACGACCAATGGCATGCCTAGGAATGAGCCATCTCCAAAATGTCCCATCCTCCACAGCCTGGCTCAGCTCTTGCAAACTCAAGCCTGTGGCTTCCTTTAGGGAGTCTGCCCATCTCATATTTGGCCTTCCTCTTCCCCTGCTGCCTTCTGCCTTTCCCAACCTGATGGTCTTCTCCAGAAAATCCTGCCTTCTCAGGATAGGTCCAAAATAGGACAGCTTCCATTTCAACATTTTTTTGGCCTCCAGAGATGGTTCAAGGCTTGATTTGATCTGGGACGCACTCGTCTGTCTTTCTGGTAGTTCAGAGCGTCCAACTGAGCTCTCCTCCAGCACCACCTGTCAAACAAACCAATTCTTTTTAAAAGGCCTAATGAACAAGTATTTGCACCCTGTGTTGGAGCGACCTGCAAACAAACTCCTTGAATCAGATGCTCCCAAGCAGCCGAGGAATAGAATTAGAATCCAAAACCTTCTTGAAACATCCTCAGAGTGGATTACTCCTAGAGTTGTTCCTCTCACCTCCTGAGTTGCTGATCACTTCAGAAATTAGCCGGCTGATGTCTTTTTTCCGCCCTTCTCCGAAAAGTGTCTCCTCCTGCCCGCTGTGGCAGGCTTAACACCTGGCAGAACGCGTTCGGTTTTTGCTCGCTCTGTCACCTGCCGACCAACAGGCAGAAACCCAGCAAAGCTCGGAGAGCCGCAAACCAATCCTGCCAGCTTACCAAAGTGAGGAAATCCCTTCTAAATGGCTTGTTCTTCATGAGCCAAGGCCGTCTCTGGCTGAATGGTGTAAATCTCCACTTGCTTCATTCTCACCACTGAGGAGCCTGGATTTTTTTTGGGGGGGGGAATTCTCGCTGATGGAGGAAAGGAGAGTTGGAGCATTATTTTCCCACCACTGAGGACTTGAGGATGTGTGAAAATTTTGTAGGAGAGCTTTTGCACAAATCCTCTCACTTTCTGTGCAAGAATTAATAATAATAACTCTGTATATCACACTGGTGAGCCATTGCAAGCAAGGGCCGAGCAATGGCTCCCGATGTTAGCAGAAATGTAGAGAGTCCGTGCCAGGAAGAGTCCAACCATCATATGCACTATCCATGGCTTCCAAACGTATTAGCACCACCACCACCACCACCACATAGTACGCTGAAGAACCTCAGGTATTACTTCAAACTTTGGAGCAAACTTCAAACTTTGGACTAAAATGGTGCAGATTTGGACCGGAACCCATGCCCTATAAGGAGGAAAGACTGAAAAAAACTGGACGGGTTTAGTCTTGAGAAAAGAAGAGGGGAAACAGGAGAGCACTTTTCAAAAACTTGAAAGGTTATCCTAGAGAAGTGGGACAGGATCTGTCCTCCACCCTCCAAGAGTACAGGACACGTCATGATTGGGCTCAAGCAGCAGGAAGCCAGATTTTGGCTGAATATCACAGAAAAACTTTTTAGAACGGAACCTATGACCTTGGGAGGTGGTGAGCCGTCCAGTGCTGGAGAAAACGGGACCACCTTCTGTCTGATCTGCTTGGATTTGAATCCCTGCCTTTTATTTTATTTTATTTTGTTTGTTTGTTTGTTTTTCTACCGCCCATCTACATGAATCTACTGTACTCTGGACAGTTTACAGTCCAAAAAAAGGCAATTAAAATTAAAATCACCAATACAAAGACTAAAATAAGCCCAAAACTTCAGGCGTTTGGACTCGATGGCCTTCGAGGCCCCTTCCAACTCCGTTATTCCCTGATTCTATGATCATCAACAAATAACCCGCCAAGAAACAAGCAAGACAAATCCTCTTGCCGGAAGCTTCGGTTTCAGACCAGCCACCACCGTACTGAGTCAACCACATTCTATAACTGAGGCAGAGTTCTGTGCAGCTCTGAAGTTTGCACAGTTTCAGTGTTCCTTTCTGCCGGAAGCTCCCTTCAACTTCTCTCTTCCTCTTGTGTTTGTGTCCCCTAAGACGTTTGTGCAAAGACAGGAAAGAAGGCCTTGGGGGTGGGGCCCCCGTCTTGCTCACCTCCTGAAGCCTCAGAACGCATTGCTTTCCAACACATGCGTGCATGCATGCATACATAAGCCCGGCGAACAGATCTATAATTCTCCATGAGCTATTTCCCAGCCCAGCGGATGACGCTGCTGCATCTCCATTTAGATGGAGCCTGTGGTCGTGGCGAGGTTCCCACTGTGAGGACAAGTAGCAATTGAGCGCAACGGGGCGGGCCGGTTTCTCCCAGATCCTTGGCCCGCCGACGCGAGACAAGCGCGGACTGCTGTGTGTGTAATGCAACCGCCACGGGGGGAAGGAGCGAGCCGGCGTGGTTGTGTATGTGAAACAGAGAGAGAAAAAGAGAAAGAAGTTGAGTCTTGAAACCGCAGAAGCCTGCGGTACTGTAATGCCTCAACCGGGCCGATTGGCCACGGGTTTTTGTGGCCTGTTGCATGGGAGAGGATTCGATCTCAAGACGCTGCGCCACCGGCCACCAACAACTTATTAATGGATTTAAAATCCATTTGCCCTGCCTTTCTCCTTAAGGCAGCTTACGTCGTTAAAAGACCATTTTTTAAAAAAGCTAAAAACCTGTTTGTACGTTGTTACTTCATGCCATCATGTTGTTGCTTCTAACTTCTGGCCACCCAATGAAGGAGCGTCCTCCAAAATGTCCCGTCCTCCCTGCTCAGCTCTTGCAAACTCCAAAGTCGTGGCTTCCTTGAGACCATTCCTTTCTCCTTAAGCGCAGCTCACGTCATAAAAGACCATTTTTTAAAAAAGCTAAAAAACTGTTTGTATGTTGTTACTTCATGCCATCATGTTGTTGCTTCTAACTTCTGGCCACCCTATGAAGGAGCGTCCTCCAAAATGTCCCGTCCTCCCTGCTCAGCTCTTGCAAACTCCAAAGTCGTGGCTTCCTTGAGAGCATTGGTCCATCTTGTCTTCGGTCTTCCTCTTTTCCTGCTGTCTTTTCACCTTTCCCAGCATTATTATTATTTGCTCTTGGACCCCTTATTTGTCTTTCTGATAACCCAAGATAACCACAAAGCTAAAAACAGAGTATATACAAATGTTCAAGTGCTTGAGAGCTCAGGGGTTTCAGTCTCTGGCTGCAGAGTCAGAGGTTGGGAGTTCAAATCCTCACTGAGCCTTCTTGACACAGGCTGGACTGGATGATCTATAAGATCCCTTCCTGCTCTGCAATTCTAAGAGGATGCCGATCGAAATACAACACTCAAAGTGGCAACAAAATGACACCAAAAACCACATTCAAAGCAACAAGGCAAAACCACCTATTTTAAAACCCGGCTCAGGCAGCCGGTCATTCAGGAGAAACATTGTACAGTACGTTGCGTGTAAGTCTGGTAGAATCCCCAGAATGAGGAACTACACGATTTGTCTTCGAAGGAATTGGAAGATCACATCCTTTGTGAGTTTTTTCAAATAATAAAATCCAGAGAGAGAGAATGTTTGCACCCAGATTGTGTTTCCTCTTTGCAGTCGGCACAACCAGCCTCTCTCACTTCCAGTCCTACAACACAGGGTCGTTGTGCACTGATAGGGGGCTGAACTTGATGATCTGGAAGGTCCCTTTCAGGTCGATCGGTCTGTGATTCCACCAACAAGACCCAGCGGCTTCTTCC